CATCCTTGGAGATGCAACCAGACAATAGCGACGGATCCACTCACGCGTCGCAACTCCGCAGGAAGTTCCTCGGCGGCCATTAATGGCAACGGGGAGAGGTGCACCATCACGGAAGCACCGAATTACGCCTTCGGAGCTCGAACGATCTTCCATTACGCAATGCGTGTCGTTCTATCGCCACGATTTTCGCGTTTTATTCGAACATTTGTGCACGAAAATCTTTCGAAACGAAAGAATACATGAAAATAAAATACGAAATGAATATATTAAAATTATACTACGTACATCCATAAATTGCGAGACTGAACATAAATATCGTGGTAAAGTGTACTAAACAGGTAGTTGGGCTAGCAAAAATTTACGGATCCGATTCGACAGCTTTCGACGTTGAATCGGTAGTATGTCCGTTAAAAATTTCAAGGGAGGCTTCGAGGAAACGATCTTTGGAGTCCATTCGATGCACTGGTCTGTGCTCGGACGTCGTGAACGGGGCTGGAAAATTCCCAGGAATCAGATAACAAGAATTGTAAAACGAAATGCTAGGTTACACGAGAGACGTGGGGCTATTTGTCGCGATGTTCGAAGGAAAGCACGATCTCGGACTAACAATCCGATTTCGTGGGCGTCCTAAGCGTGGTTATTCGAGCTAAGAAATTCATTTGCCTAACGAAGGCAAATTCCTCGTCAGGAACTCTATCTGCAATCGTAACTTTTTCCCCAGTCTTAATATCCGCTAAATTATTCCGAGACAGGGGGGGAATTTTAATGCTCGCTGCCGACGCGGAAATTTAACTGACCCGTCTAATATTTCCGCGGCGTACAAAGAAACGCGCGTATGCGCGTAGATAACGACATTTTGATGATCATCGCGAGTTATCATCCCTATGGCTGAATCACCCTTATCGCTTTTCCCGCAGCAACGGAACACGAAGATAAATGGCGAACATCCTTTACAACAACGTCGTTAATTTTTAAGATTACTTCAACGTCCAAGTGTACGGTCGAGAGGCTCTTCTCGGCGCTGAAGGGCTAGGTCCGGCAGTAATTAGGGCTGTGAAATACTCAACAGCCGAACCATCATGCGACGATGGATTCCTCTATCAATTTCCACTCTCTCTCTTCTTTTTACAAATCTTCATCGACTGTAAATAAAAAAGGAGAGATAAATACTCAACAGCCGAACCATCATGCGACGATGGATTCCTCTATCAATTTCCACTCTCTCTCTCTCTCTTCTCTTTACAAATCTTCATCGACTGTAAATAAAAAAGGAGAGAAAAAAAGAGGAAAACTCCGCGTGTAAATAAAATGTTTGTAAGCAAGACGGAAACGCGTATAATACGGATATAAAAATTGATCTGGCGGAACACGCTTCGAATTGCAGATCCTCGGTCGGACGAGCCTGAACACATGCGATATTCAACGAGTATCGAGGAAACGCAGCCCCGGATATTCATCCCGGGACGTTCGTGCAACAGTTTTTCTTTCAAGCAACCCCGAGCGTATTCCAGTCCGCTTGGAATCCAATAAAAGAGGTGAGCCGATCTTCGCCGGTCATCGCTTTAAAACAATAGAGCAGGAGACAGCGGGAGGGATGGGGGGAAAACGCAAGAGAGTATTTTCAAGACACTCTCGAATGGAAAATGTAGAGACCATACCCTGTTTGGCGATCGATGCCTTCTTTCCTCCGCGTTTTACAACGGAAATATCAAGCGGAGCCTCGCGTTTAATTACGTTCGAGCAGGTTACCTGGCGGAGAAAAAACACGTTAGTGTTAATTGGTCATGGATTGGAGATAATCCTGGAAACCTGTGTTCTGAAAAGCGAACAAACCTCGTGTAATCTAACAGAAGCGGAAAGCTGCATCGATCGGCATTTCTAAGGTCTGCGCATTATGGGGGTTCATGCGGTCGGTCTAATGGTATTATCAACCCTTAAAGCTGGACTGCTTTCAGGTCATTGGCCAGTCGGTCGCCGGTGTATCCTCTTTTCTCCCTCTTTTTTTCTCTCTTCTCCGTTCGCTTCACTCTTCTTAATTAACTTGGTTCCATTCGAGGAAATTAACACGAAAGCGCTCTAAAAATGGCACGACCCACACGTGCCGGATACTACGACGGTTCATTGTCACAGAGGGAGTTCATTGGCGTCACCCATGCGTTACGTACTGCCTGAGATAAGGTCACAATAGGGCAGCTCTGAAATGGTCTCGTTGCAATTTTCAGTAACTCTAAAAATACATTCCGCGGCTAGCAATTTCCAGCAGGTTCGAGCCCCGCTAATGACTCGGTGTAATGGAGCACGTTAATTAAGAAAATTCTTACTCTCCCTAGACGCCGTTGCCGAATCACACGAGGGATGAACATGACCCGAGGCTCGGTCACGCGATCGAGAGCATAATTTTTCAGACGAATCAAACTGGACGGTGGGTGGCTATCTTAACCTCGGCTCTGTTCCGACTTGGGCTGGCCATAAACGGCGTACGCGATTCGTGGTAAAGATAATGGGGGCCTCCGCGCGATGTTAACCTTGTTTCGCCAGAAACGGGAGAGAGTCGAAGCGTATCAAAGGCGAAACGTGGTCGGCTGATGGCTCTCCGAAACTGTTGGCTGAACGCGGCAAATGGTCGGGTGAAAAGGCAGCATTTTTCATAGCCGGTGGAACAGTGTATCGAAATGGAAAGTAAAACGCAAGAATTCGCGAATAGTTGGTTAAATGGTAACAGAAGGGGAAAAGTTTTTCCCCCGACGTAGCGAAGGCATTCAGCTAGGCCAGACGTACGGCGTTAAGGTTCACGTACACCGGGCGATCGCGATCTTAACGCGGAGTTGGCGTGCACCTTATCTGGCACGACGTCTACCTGCCGTTGAGTTACGAAGTCCTTCGAACCAGCGAGAAGGACTTGACTTTCCCGCAACTTTTACCTCGCCACTTCTGCGTGCACGTGTTACTGCCAAGGTTGAGGTTCCATCGGGGACCGAGCCAGGTGTCCGATTAAAAATCGCCAGGGACGCGAGCAGTTCGAGGAACTCGCGAGGATCGAAAGGCAACGGAGGGAAATACGTCTGGTACAGTCGTATCCCTGGTTTGGTCAGTTTACGTGCAAACTGATCAATGCCAGGGTGTCCGCGCGTGCAAGGTCAAGACCCATTCCTTGCACAAGACTTCGGCTTGGTTTTCGAGCGTTTACTCGCACGCGAGCGCGTTTAGAATATTTTAAAAAGCGGCGAACCTCCGACGATATTCTCGATAATCTAGTGATTCGCCGCAGTCATTAATGATCCCGTGGCTTGCTATTAAGGTCGCAGTTCGTTGGATATCGCGATAAGCTCGAAAAATTCCAAGGCTCCGTTCGTCGTTTACCGACACGCGAGTTCCAGCATAGGTCCCCGACCAGTCTATTCTCCGTCCGAGTTTCGTGACCGAGGGGCCTGTCCGAAACGTCAAACCTGGGCGTGGTGCATCTCGACCGGTGCAACTCCTTTCCTACGAATATTCCTTTTCTACGGGCCAAATCGCCCGGATAATATTCACGGATCGAACACTGGAACAGTAGGAATATTCCTGTCATATCCCTGTTCCCAGCCTCCTACAGGGGAATCGGGAGATCGTAAATCAGAGTAGCGACGGTGGCTAAATGGATTCGAGAAATTCCAGTTGGGTGGGACAGAAATGTTGGCCACACTAACTATACCGGGTATCCGGGCTATCCGAGCGTCGATCCACAGGCCGTGAATATTGCTGCTTGGCAGCCATTCTGACAGGGGACACTTTTTCCATTTTCATTTTCCGCAGACCCTGCCAAATCTCCGACTGACCTACTCAACCGCGCTGGATCGAGGCAATTTTCGAAGGTGACCCGCGCGATAATTGTCCCCGGTTGCAGGAACTTGTCCGAGTATTAAGAGGGGAATAAATTACCTTTATAGAAAGGCTCTGGGCGCGAGTTCAAAAGGACGCGAGATGAAACTGCGCGCGGCATCGAAAAAGGAAGGAGAAAATATCGAATTTCCCGATGTACAATCAGCGCGCGATTCAAATCAAAGACTGAAACTAAGCCTGACAACAGGGTTACGGAAATCAATACTCATTCAGCCTTTTCGCCCGTAAATCTTTCATACGGGGAAACGCGGTCCGTTGAGAATTCAAACGATCTCGGCCGAGACGATGCTTCGACGGTGGAAAATTCAGATGGTGATTTTTCACACGCATACCCGACGCGACAGCGGACGATTCAGCGAGTATCCTTAACGAGGGGAAATTATCGCGAAAGGATGTCACGTCGCGTGGTAGAAAAAGTCAAGAGGTAGCCCTTCGAGCAAAGCCAGGACACTCGATACGGCTGGAAGTATACAGTAATAAATGGCTTTAGCCTTTCGGAGGTGTTACAGAAGCTTTCCAGTGAGCGATGATCGCGTTAACCTCGGGTAATTGAACCCTTCCTCCCTCTCCCGTGCTTTTCTAGTACACCCTGGTCTCATCCTTTCGCGTCTACTTTCTCGGATATCGTGTGTTTAGCCACGCCTCAGCCCGCCTGTCGTCCTTGGTTAATCATCGTGAGAATGGGTCGCAAGCTCCTCGGCACGGTACATCGCGACTACGCGAAAGGACGTTCATTGAAAAGCCCAGAATCGACGGAGCTCTGCCCGATATTTAGGGAAGCGTCCTCTCGAGTTGCGGAAACTCGATGAAAACATAATGAACACTGATGAGCGAAGGCTGTGCTATTTCAAACGGGCAAATCAAGCCACCTTCTTTATGCAGACAACAGCAGAACCGGCCGACAGCCACAACAGGTGGAATTGGAAAATCCAATTCTTCGCCCCCCATCGGCTGAACATTTTAATCCGATAACTCGAATAAAAACGAACGAATCCGCTACTCAACGACTTGTTTGTAATTTTGATAACGGAACATGTTCCCCCCGACGAAGCTTCTTACCCGATAATTTTTAATTTCGCGCGGCTAGGTTTAAAACTGATTTCAAAGTCTCGAGTACTCACGATCTTGTGATGAAGATGCTGAAGTTCCCTCTCGGTAACCCGCCTCCGCGATAGCTCGCGTTGTTCCCTCCTGTATTGGCTGTACTTGTAGAAAAGATACATGCCAGGAAGCGCGAGGACGACCAGAGGCTTCATCAGGCTGGCCCTTCCGCTTCCTCCGCGAACGCGAGGCTCTGGAGGCTCGTCGAGGTCCTCCAGCTGGCCAGCACCTTCGGCCAAAGCCGGCACGACTGGCATGATTAATTACCTGAAACGGAAAATCGATGTTAGTCAGAGGGAATTAATTAAATCGTCCAATGGTTCACACCAGTGGCGAGCGGGGTCTTCGAGTGTCTAATTATTCGTGACTGCGCGCTGCATCTTGCATCGAAACACGCGTCAAAGGGAATCGTTTCGGAGTTGATTAATTAATGACATGGCATCCGATTATTGCCGTGTTAGACAATAGCCTGTGCCGGCATATTGTACTTCATTGAGGATATTGAAACGACGCGGCTACCGTTCCAATTGGCCGGAATGCACTTGACAGAGAAACGCTGTCTCCCAGCCTCATAATGGATCATTTGTTCGGGATCGGTTAATTAGACGCGTACCCGCGAACTCGTCGGCGTTCAATTTCCACAGGCCAAAGCGGTGAAAAGGAAAACTTCGGATGCACGGGCCCGCGGGATGATCCTTTACACGCTGATCGGAATTTTTATACGTCCGCGAAGAATTTCAACGCGCTGATAAAGTTGAAGCGAGCGCGAGTTCTAGGTCAACGGGAGATGACTATTGGCTATTGGTTTTCCATCAAATCGTTTTTTACAATCCCACGTCCCTTGTCATCCCTATTTCTTCCCTCGTTTCCCGATATTTATAATCCTCGTTAATGTCTTCCCGAAGCATGTGCAGCGAAACAGCGGCTCTGTCGCAGGCGGCCGGGCGAAAAAGTACGCCATTGCCCTGGCCTCTGCGCTAATTATTGGCAAAACCTGCAAGTTCTCGTGAGAACCGGCGACTTCATCGATTCCATCTATCGATTAGATTGCCCGTTCGAGAGGACTCGCCTGACGACCGGACAACCTGTCAGATTTCCGTGACTTCAATGAAATTTCGTAATATACCCGGTCGTTCACCGACTATATTTAATTCAGCCGTCTACTTGCCGTGCTATTCTTAACCAGCTGCTCTAGAAATACGCGAGCTGTTACGCCGCCCGTGGCTGGGTCGTGTACCTTCGCTGCTTGCAATTTGCACCGGAGATGCGGTTCGCGTCTTCGTCAATGGCGGTCCGATTATAGTAACTTCCACGATTTGCCAAAATTGAAACTCCGAGTAACGGTGTCGATCCCGTGACACCATGATCGCGACCTCATCGATATTTCGGTGACAGCCGAGTTGGCACCAGCTCCGTGTCACTCACGCACGGCTGGCGGCTTTGATTAAACATTTCAAGACGATTTCCAATTTCCAATTTCGATATCCCGTTGGCGTATTCATCGAGAATTTTCCAAACAATACTGCTCTAAAATCATTCCCGGAGCCATCCGTAGACCTTCGTGATGGGCAATCGGTGGTAACCAGGTCGCTTTCTCCAAAACCGTACCTGGCGACAATCTGACTGCTGTGCACGCACCTGGACTGGGGAACTCCTTCCGGTTCGCGATCGCGGATAACGTCCAAACCGATCCACGGTAAGGAGAATAATCTATCATACGGCAAACCTGCGTTCGACACTCCGCGTGGTGAAATTCGTATCGAAACTTGGAGAATGTACCAGTACCTGCTCTTCGCTGCGGAAAAGATACTGGACGAAAGTCCAGCAACAATGAAACTTAATTTTCAAAGGAGGGAAAGAATTCGGGACAAGAAGAGAAACGCAAGAGAGTAGAAAGGGGAGAATTCGGGAATAATAAAAGGTAATGGAGCGGGAATTTCGAACCTGGAATTCCATCCGGGGATTAAACACACTGCAAGGGTATCAGAGAAGAGATTTGCGCGAGAATATTAAAAAAGAAATTCGAGTAAAAATAGAATCCTATATAGAAAAGAGTTTTCGGAACGAAAAAGAAGGGTTCGCGAAAAAGTTCGAAACAACGCTACGCGAAAGGAGTTAGAGTGGTACAAAAAGAGACGAGCAAAAAGGAAGGTTTCCATGAGAAAAAATGAAAAGACAGTTGGAAAACACGGAGGACAATAAGTCGCGGTAAGGGTAGGACAACAGGTGAAGTGTACTCGAAATTACCTGAACCAGAGTTCGGATCTGTATCAGCTAAAGTTTCGGTCAACTCGACTCGCTTATCCAGATGTTTCGAACTTGACAAAATTTATGCTCGCCCTGCCTGTATCGTGGCAGGCTTATCAGACATCTAGTAACACGTGGACGCCATAAACGAGTCGTAGTAAATTCCTGCCACGATGTAGTCGCAAAGGAGTATCGGCGAGCGTGGCTGTTAAATCAAATCGCGCGATTAATCGAGATCTATCGATAGGAGCTATTCGTTCCCCATTTTTCCAACGTTCCAACGAGTAATCGACGAACTTGATTCTAGAGAAACCGCTCGAGCAATTATGACAAACATAATAGCGTGTAAACGCGAAATCGGATAGCCTCGTTCCCAACGAGGGGAAACGTATGGAACAGCAATCGAACTGGTGAAAAACCTGGATACACGGGTTGGAACATGGCGAAAGTGGGCAAAAAGCGAGAGAAGGTAAGAAATTCGACGGGTTTTCGAGGCAAGACGACATTGATGTGCGGCGTACATGCGTGTACATGGCCTAACCATGGGCTTTTATACGTGTTATCGCCTCGAGTGGCAATACATTATCGGAAATGAGTCGATATATCGACTGGCGTAGCACACCCGACACCGCAGAAACGCACGCCACCTTGGGGATTCGCCGTTTTTCCAGCAAGGGCAAGGTTGTTCACGCGTTTTTTCGCCGGTTTGAAAAACTCCACGAGCAGAGCTGCACTCGCAACGCGGACACCGCTGCTTTTCCGCTCTTTCGCGGGCAAAAAGTCGAGAACCGACCGTGGACACAGAATTTCGCGCGAGTATACGCGGGTTCGCGTGGAGATCAAAGAAAACGGAGAAAGGACGGGAAAAATGGGACTCTTTTCGGCAAGGAAGACTTGTCGAGAAACGAGGTACCGTGAAGTGCTCGGAAGAAGCCAGTCAACTGTGATCGGCAACCGATCGGTGGTAGGTCGGATTAATGGCGAACGCGCGCGAGCTGTCCACGTTATCCCTATTAGCCGAAATGGTAACTATACCTCGAAACGAATAAGCAACATTGCGCGCATTATCGAGAAGGGACGGTCTTATCTACGGGCCTGACTTCTTCCAAAGTCCCCGCAGTACGTACGGAGAAATTATTACGTCGTTATCGCGACGATTATCGTGCGGATCTAATATTACACGTACATACGCGTCTCGCCTTGACATGTCGTAATGGCGGTCGCAAGAACAAGGACACCCGCCGCGGCAGGATAACATCGTATCGCATAGGCTACGGCCAAGTACACGTCCTGTTCTGCCTTCTATTTTTATGCCCGTTTTCCTCCCTGTTGTTCACCGCGCCGTTCGATTGCCGTGTGTTGCACGATTAGAATCGATCTGCCCACTCTTTTCCTCATCCTCACGTGACTCCACGCGAAACCTGATGCCGTGACAGAGAGCACGGCCCCCGCAGAGTACAGGCAGTGCTCTGATTTTAATCGCTCCGATTTGTCGCCAACTCGAGCATCCCGTCCGCGACCCACGGTTTTCCTCCGAAACGCTCGGAATACCGCGATCGGCCATTCATTACGCTCCATTGTAGTATCATTAACGCTTCGAGTACGCGCGTAGTGCTATCGAGTCGCGAGCGTGCAACTCTAGTTCTAGCGGGGAGGAACAGGACACGGACGGAAATAACGCGCGGTTTCCAGCTCCATTTTACGCTATCACGGTTACCGGTCTTCGATTAAACAACGGGGTAAACAGCTCGAATCGTACCTGGTCACTCCGATTTGTCTCCACCGGTTAAGAATTACGCCAGCGTGGATTTTTCTCGACAGCCATCGGCGACTCGAGAGACCGTAAGTAAGTCTTGGCCGATAGGATCGCCGCGTCTGACATCGCGTCGCTCTCGGCAAACGTTTACCCGATTAGACAACACGTTGCTACGAATTGCGGTGAATCTACGAAGCCACGAAGGCCGTCCATCGGCAAGGATAGACCGGAGCCAGCGATTCGAGCGCGTATGTAAACACAGGCAGCGATTGGCCGGAGACACGATAACACCTTGTCTCGAGAATACCGGGAATTTTTCCCAAACACTGACGGCACACCTGTCGTTCCCGTCGCGAACCGTCCGATTTCCGGGAAGCAACACACGCCTCTAACGATAGCCAAACACAGGAAATCGAGGCGTCCTTCTAGCCAGGTTGTGCTGTCACGACGTACACGGCATTCTCGATGAATGCCGACGGAATAACGCCGCTCGATCACCGGTTTCACAGGTGAGAAAAATAGGGAACTAGTATCTAAGCAACACCGCGGTGACTGTCACAAAGCACTTACGTCGTGGTCGCTGCTGAGACTCGGGTTGGTTCGATGGTGGATCGCGCCAGACGGGACGATGCCGAGGAGGAGCAGACTTGAGGCGAAGGTGAACGGAAAGTCGGCGTGGAACGAGCGGAAAAAGCACGAGAAGAGACGACCGCCAGCGCCGGCGACACGAGCGTTCCTCGTGCGCTCAGCTCAGCTGAAACATCGCCGAGCAGCGACTGCGAGGCTGCTTCTACCGGCGGCTGCACTGCGCGCCTGCAACGAGGCGAACCGCGCAACGGGTCTGGCTCGTGGCTGTTCGACGCGTATCGGTCGTTTCCGGCACGCCTCGGCAGTATCCGCTGCCAGCCGTTCGACCTCGATACTTTTTGGCGGTCTTCGACGAACTTCGACCGCCTGCGCGAGCCAGCCGCAGGGTTGTAACTACACGGGACGCCTCCGGTTCGCGATTCTCGCCGACGCTTTCGCGCACCTATGCACTGCGCATCCTACACGGTACGTGTGCCAACTGCTTCTACCTTGCGAGTTTCTTGCTCGTGGTCGGTGCGAGGGTCTATGTTTCAGGTGGTGGTAGAGGCTGACGCGTCGCGAGAGGGTGGTATTCGGCTGGAGATATTCGTACGCCTATGTGGAACGCGTGACGAAGGTCTGTATCGAATTTAGGTAGGCCAGGTATGCGAGATTCGACGGAGGGAAAGGCGAGGTTGTTGGTTGCTGTACTCGTTCAGCGGGAGTCCTCGCGCGAGATCCTGTCTATGCGGTGGACGGAGGGTCCGGGAAATCGATCATCCGGGATTACGCACGATCAGCGTGACTATGCAACTAGGCGATGCGTGACGCAATGCATGAGGCAACGTAAAAGCGACGATCGAAGCAGTTCTGCCGGCATAGTGGCCGGGTATCCACTGAGGTGGTACATGGTCCCCGTTGCTGATTCCGAGCCACGATGTTGCGCTACTGCTCTGCTGGAGGAGGATCGATAAAAGGAGGAGGGATGGAACCACCCGGGAAGAAACGACGGAATCTGCGCTCCTCCGTCCCCCCTTTTCAACCCCGCGAGCACACCGCTCACCCACAACGCATGACTGTTTGGTGGATCCGCTGATGTCGGCCTATTCTTCGGTTCCCTCTTCCACCTGGCTCCAGCCTCTTCCCTCGCCCCTTTTTCGCTCCTATCGCCACCCGTCCTCCCTTCTCCCTTTTCTCTTTCGCCCTACCTGCCTGTGGAATACCAGTTCCATCTCGCCGAGGACGTGCCGGTGCGATATTAGGGTTAGTGAACTCTGCATCGACGCAGATAAGCGTCCGAGGTCTTTTCATCGGATGGCTGATTATTTCACCGTGCGTGGTAAACGCGAGCATTCTAATTTTTCCCTCTGCCGAGCTCACTGTTTACGAGCCCCCGGAGAACCTACCGCGGTCACGATTTTTGCTGATTCGCTCGTTAGAAGGGAATTGGGTTAGGTCGCCTCCTTGTTTAATATTCAAGCATATGATAATTGAAGATGCGGCCGCGACGAGTTAATTAACCAGTCGTGCGCAATCATTGACGAGCACCGGTGTAAAGTTTCGCAACAGCCGTTCGTTGCGATCTGTCGGCGGAGGGAACGTTGCGTGCCTTCCGTAAATAATTCATCAGCGATTTATCAGGGAACACCTGCTCGCAGTGAGCCGCGCGAACACTCGCGAGAAAATAAATGATCCTAGACTGGAGGAGCTTTGGAAAGAAAGCAGCGAGACGTATTGTTCTCTAGAGCTAGCCTTTTAACAACGTCAGCGTCGTGATTCGAGAACCCGGAGGAACTTTGTCTATCCATTGATAGCTTCTCCCTTTCCCGTTAAAGGTTCGAAGGTTCTTCGGTTTAATTACGGTTTCGCCGCAGATACTATCTGTTTAATCGCTCTGGAGCGCAACGTAATTCCAAACCCGATTCCATCGCGTTATTCGTAGAAAACCGGCTGATCCCGAGGCACGGAAAAGGTCAGAGTATAGGTACGCCCTCGCATACCTGGTCCAGAAGATTGCGAGTCACTCTGATACTCGCCGATCCCGTTCCGACGTCGGTGATAAAACCGGCATTGTTCCTCGCCTTGGAATCGACGGCGCTGCTTTTGATCCGAACTCGAGGATTAAAGTGGAAAAATAGGCACAAAAGGATGTGGATCGCGGGCATCGTGTGTCGAAAATCCCGAGAATCCCTCTGGTTTGTGTGTCGCACGGCGATTCAATGCACGCTTGGTAACGAGTACGAGTTTCTGACGTCCCCTCGAAATAACGAGGCCTCCGAACAAAAGTGCAGAGGTTCTTGTGCACCTAAGCTAGAGGTAAAAGAGTGTCGTTACGTAATAATATCTCTGAAAATTCAACGTGTTACCGCTCCCTTGCACGACGCTGCCAGAAACAAGCAATTTAGTCCTCTCTTGCTGCAAGGACCTCTCCAGAGTGCACTACTCCTTCTTTCCCTTTATCTCCGGTCTTCATCTGCGAGGGACACTTTGCGATTTCGATGGAAAAAATTTTCCACCACTTTGTTCTCCGTTTCCACTCGCCGCGGGACCTATACGTGCATACGTATGTTCGAGACCAGGTGCTTTTACGTTTTATCAGACGATCGATCGACGAAAGTGAAATATAGAGAGTTTCCATCTAGGAGCACCATTGGCGGGGTATATCGCGTCGACATCCTTGAATCGTAGCCAGCATCCTACGAGCATAGCCATTTTTCGTGACGTTTGACCCGCTTCTATTGGATGAGCGTGACGTCACCGCGGGGAATGTCAGATCAATGGTCCCCAGGGGTTGGTGGCACTGCTTTGCCACCTTTTCATCCTCCGTGCCCCCCTCAACCCCCGTTCCCGGTAAACACGTGCACAAGGACTGCCTACGCGAGACTCCGTCGCGATGAAAATAATCGGGGATGGCGAGGATGACGACAGACAGGACGTGGCTCGCGATCCCTGTGATTTATCGATATTCTAATTCGTACCTTCCACGGCATATCGATCTAGCCGATGTGTACCTGGAACACCTCCGCCGCGTCCGCACGTGAACGATTCTTCGATCCTGGCCCTACCCCATTTTTCACGTGCTGCTAATTCAAGTGAACCGACGCGGAGCGGAATATTCCCTTTTAGCAAACAACTCATCCCCTATGGATTCTTCGCAAACCCATTACCGCGAAATTGTGGCCTCTCAATAGGGCATCAATCTGGGCTTAATAGTCTCAGTGACAACGCTCATCTTCTAAAATTGATGCCCCCGCAGCGGTGCTCGAGCCTTCTCCTATTCTCCTCCAGACGTTCGATCGATTTAGCCTAATCGCGATACGATTGCTCCGTTTTATCGCGAATATCTGCTATCGCGAGACTCGTGGTAGCGTCGGAGAGGCTTCCATGCTTGGTCGATGACACGCTGCGAAAGTTACTCCGCGATTCCCCAGGGGTTGCGAACCACTGGCATGACGTCACAGAAAGTTCAATGACGTCATAGACCGTTCGATACACCGCGATCTAATGGTGGGGGTTGTCGAGAGCAGAGGAGCGCTCAGGACCACCCCGATAGGGAGGAAACGAAGCTGTGCAGCATCAGAGGGGAAAACAGCGTGGAGAACGAGAGACTTTTCACGCCGTTGCAGCTGAATGCTACTACTACACCCGCCTCGTAGATCAAAGAACTAGGCTGACAGATTCGGCCACGTTGTTCCCGTGTCCTCACCATCCTCCTCCACCCCACCCACCCCGCCCCCTACCCTCCTCGACGTTCCGCGAAACGCTAAAATTATTTCCAACCCTGTATACGCGCGTGACAAACTTCCCCCGACGAGATTTCCACTTTTCAGAGATAAAAAGGGAAAAGAAAAGGATCGTGGAGTCGTTGCGGAGCGCAGCTACGGGTTCGAATTTCTGCCGGGTCGTGGGTCTAAATAACGAGAAGCTTTCAGTGGAATCTTTGCCGAACGTTAATTAACGTGGTAGTAGTCGCAGGCTAGTTAAGGCCGTTGCAGCAGGAAGGGGCGATAAATTAACCGGGGAGTCCAGGTTGCACGAGCACGTGCATATGCAATAAGAAACCGGGGAGCAGAGGCACACTATGTTGGCCGATTCTGGAGCACGAAGAAGAGGCGCGTCGAGTGGATACCGAGCCCCGAAGAGGCAGGTGGCTCGGCATCTAAACGAGGATTTTCTCCGTGACGGTGACATATACGCGTCGAGGTGGCCCCGAAAGCCAGAATTTTCTCTTTCTCTTTTATCGCGCGTCGTCATCTGAAAGAAGCCAACTCGAAGGATCCTCTCCGGGCCTCGTTGGAAACTTCCGTTTCGGCTCGGCTACGGCAGACGAGATCTCGCAGCCTTCCGACCGATGCGTCCACGAAAGCCTATCTTCCCCGCGAGTGCTCGCTGGTGAAAGGGTTGAACGAGATCAGAGGAGCAATTCGATTCGAATCGAACCGTGAAATATTCCCGCAGCGTGCCTCGAATTTCGCTCGAGACTCTCTTCTCGAGGGCTCGCTCTAATCTCGAACACTATCGATGCCGGTTTAACGACCGTTCCCGAGGCAGGCTCGATTTTAATTACCAAACGACTCGCAGAGGCTCAGCCTGTGTGGGCCAGGTTGTCTTAAGGACTACGGTTCCGCGAGATCTCCAGCGACCTGTTTATCCGTTCTTGGGGATGCAATTCAGGGTAGCCGCATTGCGCCACCCCCACTATCAGTCAGGGCTGCTTATAAAAGGTACGCTTGTAATTTTCGTTCCGCGACTCGGTGCGCTGTGCGGTTTCCGGCCAGCCGGAAGACGGAATACCGGAAGCACCGCCGTCACGCTCTTCTTGACCGTTAAATCGCGTTATGCAACGATGTTGCGCGAGCATCGCCTCTTCCCGTTATTCACACTGCTCCGTGGAACGAAGAATTCCAGTTTCGCAGAATGCATCGCCGTGATTTCCGACGCACCAGGGAGAACTGCTCTCTGTTCCCCTGACCAGCCGTCTATACCTCGCTCCTCTTTGCCCCGGTCGTTAAATCTCGCGGCGAATTGGCGAATTGATTTTTAGCAATAATAAAACCGGCGGAAGCGCGCCGCTCGGC